CACACTCACCACCAGAAACAGGAGCAGAACCTTCCCACATCCAAACTCGTAAGGGGGGGCTCATTTACCAAGTCGAATTGTGGGAGGCAAGCTGCCGACACCCACGTCACGGCTTCTGACGGCTTCTGAGCGTTGCTTCTTGCTTGGATGTGGCCCCGTGTCCTGTGTGCAGCCTGTTGGGGGCTGTGCTGGTTGTCAGTCGGAGGGAGAGGCGAGGACAGAGTCCTCACGTCACGGGTTTGCCATTGGCGTTTCCCATTGGAAACGAACACCGTCCGTCCTGTGGACTTGAGCTGACCCCTGGGTAAAAGTGTGCAGTTTTCCAGGAAATGCCGAGCAATGTAAAGCTCTCACTGAAGGATTATCGGCTCAAAAGCAGAAAACCACACAAAGCCTTCTTTTTGCTAGCTTTAAGTGTGTCGTAGAAAGACCTGGGGTCAGTGGAAGATTAAAACGTGAGCCCTGCGTTCTCGGTTACTCGGCTGAGGCTTCCCCTCACCGAGCACCTTACGGGTGCCGCCGCCGCTGCTGCCGAGTGAGTTCAAAGGAAAGGAGCCGGCCCGCCGAGCAGCCCTCATACGGCGTTGGTGAACCCGGCACGAATTCTCGGCTGGTTGTATGTCACTCACTAGGGGGAAATTAGAAAACAGACCCCAACTAGAGACTTTTTCTTCACCTCACACTTCCTCCACGCCTCTCAATGCCCCACAGGCCAGGGCACCCGGAGGAAAGCACAGGGAGCTGGCCCTGGTGTCCGCTGGCCCTGGTGTCCACGGGCCCTGGTGTCCACGGGCCCTGGTGACCACACTTCCCCGGGGGCTGGAGGGAGGGACTGGAAAGGGAGCCACCTGTGGTGACAGCTACAGGACCGGCAGGAAGAAGGCAGTGGAGGCTGAGAGAGAGAGTGGACGTTCCCGCGGAAGTGGCCAGGCTCCTGGCAATGGTGAGAGCAGGTGCTCAGGCAGGGACAACCGCGCTCACAGAGAAGGGGACGCAGGCCCGGCCAGGGCAGTGAGCAGCTGCCGGGCCCACCTCCAGGACTGGCCACCTGACAGGTGTCCCTTCTCACTGCCACTCAGGAGAACCTGGAACAGACATGAACTAGATACCGGAGTGTTTATTAAACTCATTTTTAGTCTCTGCCATTTTTGCGTATATAGGAAACTGTAGCCATAGTAAATGTCTATTTTTTCTTGGTAGTTAGAGAAATCGAGGATTTTCAACGGTGAAATGGACAGTAGAGGGAGGGTGCCATGGTTTTCCGGATAAAACTCTTTGGTCTGTATAGTTTTTCAGAGTTTAAGATAACAGGAGAATTCACTCCAGTAGAAAGGAAACAGTAACTTCCTCAAAAAATTTAACCGCGGGACTGTGTACAGGAGTGAGCGTGAGCTGCACAGAACCCCAGCACGAGGCATTACTGTAGCAGAGTTTGTGTCCTCGGCTGGGAGGGGACAGACTCACTGGGGACAAGGAGCTCAAGCCAGGCCACCCTGAAACGGCCCAGAGTAACACGGAGCAGGCCGCCCCCCCCCCCCGCTGCACGACAGAGACATCCAGAGAACGGTGACCGCGTGACGGAGAGGGACGCAGCACGGCCGGGCTTCCTACGCATGGGGAGGATTTGGCCCTCGGTTCTCCCTCTTTGTTGATGGAATTTCATGTGTGTGTATACTTATATAAGTATTTAAATAGTTTTTTAAAACGTTAACAAAACAGCTGGTTTCCTGGTTCTAAGACATTCCTTGAAGTCTAAGGAGGCACCCCCGTGGGTGCTCGGTCACACCAGGGTGCTTTGGCACGTGACGGGCAGGGGTCTGAACTGGTCCCTGCAGGAAGGCCGGGTAGAGGACAGTGGCTCAGCCTCCGGAAGTCCAAGGTCAAGGGCACGCCAGGACCTGCGGCTTGGGAGGGGCAGCCTTTCCAAAGGTAGCAAACCAGCTGCAGATCCGACCCACACGCTGAGCCCTTCAAAAGTGAGACGACCCTAATATCGGACCCACTGGGGCTGGGTCCTGGCGGGAGTTGGGGTGAGAATGGCTGGTGGTGGCGTCGTCAGGCACTCGGTGGCGGTGGCGGCGGCGGCCTCGCTGCTCCCTTCTGGGGCGGCGTCCTATCTACAGGATGGCGGTCGCCGTGGGGGAGCCTGGGCACTGGAGTCTGCACAGGAGCCTGGCATGGCCTTTTCCTCTACTGGACGTCCCTCCAGCAGACTCAGGAGCCAGGCTCCTGGACAGTGGGTTTGGAATAAGCACCTGTGACGAAGGGTCAGGAAAAAGCTACGCGAGCGGGCCGGCGATCCCGTGCCTCAGGTGAGCACGTACAAGACCTTTTAAACAGTAGGGTTCGGGCTGCGCCAGCCAGGGCAGGGAGGTGACGGGCGCTCCCTCTGCGGAGAAGTGCATCGGGTGCTGGGACTGAGACGCAAAACACTTTCCTTCCTTGGGGCAGATAGGCGGGGCTGGGACAGTGGCCGGCACCGTCCCTGGTGTTCGCCGGCGTCAGGTCCCCACAGACCCTCGCAATCTCTGCAGTGTGATGTGGGCTGACCGAGAGCTGGTGACGGGCCAGATCCCGTGGCCCGCAGTGCGTTCTGTCAGTGGGACGTGTCCCGGCCCAGCTTTCTGCTTCAAATCGCCTCTGCTCCTCACGTCAGCGTTCAGCTCCACACCCTTCCGTTCTGCTCTGACGCCGCTGAGCTCAAGTGACGGTGAAAACATCGCCTAATTCCTGCTGGCACCTGCTTCTTGCTCACGGAAGCAGCTAGAAACACATGATGACTCAGCCGGAAGGAACCGAGGGGTGGCCCGGGGGTGTCTCTCCACCCCCAGGCCTGCAAGGCCCTCATCCGCCGCCCGCTGGGGCTGAGACCTGAGCCCTGAGCCTGCTGGCTCTAATTCCAAGGGGCTGCGACCTGACTCGACCTTGCACGATACAGCTGAGGGGGGACAGCACTAGAGAAGAGGATCCGGGCACCTTGAGGAGCCACCTGCTCCCCAGGTGCACAAAGGACTTGAGAGCCAGGTGTTACTGGTCTGCGTGCTCTGTGGCCGGAACCAGGGACAGGAGCGCCACACCGTGGAGTTCGGTGGCTGACCGACGTGTGACTGGATGCCCAGGGGTCTGATGGCCGGCTGGGCTGCAGGTTTCTGGGCACCCCATGAGCTTACAAATCGTTCTGCGGCCACCGTGCTGCTGGGTGTTTGGCCACGGCGGGGAAGGCGGCGGTGCCCGGGACTGTTGTCTTCGAGGCCACGAAACATGGCAACTGCCGATGCCCTCCTGCTGTGAGGGCAGATGCGGACCCTTCCCCCCCCTCCCCCAGGGCCGAGGCACCGAGGTCTGGGTGGAGAGGTTGAGGGATCCAGGGGTGGAGGACCTTGCCCCACCTGCCTGTCCTCTGCCCCTCCCCCGAGGCTCAGCCGCTCGCTGGCCAGCAGCGGACCAGGCACCTGTGGCCTTCTGCCTCATCTTCACACTTTGGAACCGTTTTCCACCAAAACTTTCAATCCAGTGTAAACAAATGTGCAGATAAAAACAAAAAGCCCTCGGCAAGTTCTGAGGGGTCCGTGTGGCATGGACCCCACCTGGTTAGAGGGTCAAATTTCGGTAAAGAGGGAAACGACAAGGAGGCTGGAGCCTGGAGGAGAGAGGGGCAGGAATGGGCTCGAGGGGAGACTCGGACGGACCCTTCGGCCTGTTCCCGGGGACCCGCCGCTGCCCGCTGCGCTGTCATGTCCTGGCGATGCACTCCCGTTTGTGGGGACAGGTCATGCTGCCCCTCTGTGAGCTCCCCCCAGGGCCTGGGGACCCACAGGTGCCCAAGGGACCCCAGACATGGCACTCGGAAGTTCTGAAAACCTGCCGGAGCTCTGAACCAGGCCACTGGCCATGTCCCCCTGATGGTGTCCCTGGTCCTCCATGTCCCTGGCCACGGGGCCGGTCTGACTGAGGCACAGCCAGTGGGAAGGGACATTCTCCCTCCGTCCCCTCCCTGCTCGCCCCCCACGGGTTTGCCCAAACCACACTAGTGCTGCTCCCTGGTCGCTCTGACTGGAATCCCAGCGGAAGTCCACCCCGGAGTGGGCGGGGCGGCAGGGCTCCCAGGGCAAAAAAACACGGGCCACAGGAGTGGGCATCTAATGACGAAGGTGACAGGGGCAGTTGAGGCTCCACACGGCCGGGAAAGGTGAGAATCAGGGCTGCAGTCCAGTGTCGGTGCCGCACGCACTTGGCCTTGCCCAGGGGGGCCTGCCCAGAGGTTCCCGCTATGTTTTGGGTCCCTACACTCAGGACTACTTTTTTCTAAAAGAGGAAAGTTCAAGGTGACCTGTTTAATTTTTCCTAAAAATAGATGGTTCTGTTTAATGCTGCAAGTCTTTAGCATTGATCTTGAGGTGAAAACATTAATCGCACTTTCTTTTAAACAAAAAATGTGTGGGTTTTTTTTGGTATTATGTAAAACTTTGATTTCTGATTGCCATTCTGGGACTGGCACATGAACCTGCTGGGAAAACAAGGCGGAACAGGCCGGCAAGAGAAACTCCCTCCCGTTAAACACAAGACAACAAGCGCGCGGGAGGAAGACCAATTACACCCTAACCAGCGCCAGCCGCCTCTCACGGGGGCGTCTGAGACTTCGGGGTCCTGCCCACTGTGCTCGCGCTTTGCCGTTGGGGGTTACGCACGGCCTCGTGGCTGCTGCGACGGGAAGGGTTTCTGAGCAGCACTTGCGTCTGGGCCTTTACCAGCCATCCCTTCAGGGACCGCGGGCACCGGAGCCCGGGGGACGCTGCGCCCCGCTCCAGACACGTTCACGGAGCGCGGCATGGCACGTGTTCTCAAACACGTGAGCCATCTCCCAGGAAAGCCCGGCTCCTGCCGGGCTGCAGGGACCACCCCCAGCGCAGAATCGTGCATCTGCCAGAAATGAATTCGCTGGGCTGACCACCGCGAGTATTCTAAACAGTTTTATTTGTCTTTACATAGAAATATGTAAACATGGCTTATCTCTGCATCGGGGATGGAAGGTCGCGGCTCGGGAACCGGGGCTGTTGCGCAGGGTCCTGTCGCGCGAGCAGGTTACATTCTATCGGGTCCCGCGTCCGCTCCGCCGGCCGCGACCTTCTTTGGGGCTTGGAGGGCCAAGCGCGTCCCTACACCTTCCCCACTTCCAGTCAGTGGCTGCTGTCACGTGGAGCTGTGGGGTGGGTGAGGACAAGACTTTGGGGAACTTCAGGATAAAAATGACTATGCAAAACATTAAAAAAAAAAAAAAAAAGAATCCCAATCCAGAGAATACTTTCATTCAAGTCAGGATGAGAGAGTCTGGGATCCAAAATCAATAATTATTGTCTAGTTTTATAATTTGTCTTGCGTTTTCGTACAGGTGGAAGGAAGGGAGAGAAGACCTGTTGGGTGCTGGGGGGCCGGGCGTGGGAGCCGGAGGGCGCGGCGGCGTTTTCACTGCTCTGCGGGGAACCCGTGTCCCCACGTTCTCTGCGGGTCTTCCCCAGAGGGCGGGCCGTCGCAGAGTCCATCTTTGAAGTCTAAATGCCAGTGTTTGCACATACATGTGTCCGTGACACACTGCAGTGGGTGCAGGGAGAAGCATCGCGTGGGACACTACCCAGGATTTAGGAATTTATTTAGGTAGAAAAAAATGCTTTGAACACTCTGGGGAAATAGGGTTCATATAGAAGAATATTTCAGGGAAACTTTTTTTTTTTGCATTTTTCAAGGATATACATTCGTACTGATTTTTGCTTCCAAATATATTTTAAGGCTGTTTGGTAAAATATATACTGGATATGAGGTTCCGTGTACAGGGTGTTGTTCTTACAGGGAATTCGTAACTACTCAGCTTTAAAAAAGTAAAACTTTGAAGCTAGACATGCTTGAGCGTCCACTGCGCCCCGGACTAGCCCCATGCGTGGCGGGGTGGAGGGATGAGGAAGGACCTGCGGGCTTGCCGAGGGCCAGCGGCCCGCCTCGCCGCGCTCAGCTGTGGGGCCGGGCGCAGACGGAGGTGGGCAGGGCTTAAAGTGCAAGTCACGGGTGGGGCCGAGGGGACAAAGTGCTACAGTAGGGGACGGGGAAGTGGCTCTGCGTGGCCGAGCCCTGCCCGGAGCAGCAGCGAGCGGAAGACCAGGGCCTGCTTTCACCCGGAGTGACTGGGCAGGCTCTGAGTTCAGGGCCAAACAGATACAGGCTCTGCCTCGGAAACCGTGCTTCGGTTACGCACACAGGAGCCTTTGGTTTCGTCCTCCCTGCTGTTGCCCGGTGCCCACCAGAGCCACGGAAACCCATCTGTGGGGGCCCGCAGCGGGGCAGGGCGACCTCTTCCCCGTCACCCTCCGAAGCAGACGCCGGCGCAGCGGGGCTGCCTGGCGCGCAGGGTCCCAGAGAAACACGCACTCGGGCTGCATCGCCTCCCTGCTCGGACCCGGATACACGCACACTGGCACGCACGCAAGGCTCTTAAACTTTCCACGGCACGGCGCTGTCCTCTGACACAGGCAAACTCTGCCGTTTTGCATTTGTAAGGGCACCCTGAAAAGTCAACTGATAGAGCCGTCTGAGAATATATACACACGTCTATAAAAAAAAACACACGTAGCCCATGAATGATGGAACTGAAGGACGGACTGTGGGCGGGGTCTGAAGTCACCGAGAGACCGGGACCCACAGCGACCCCTCCCCGGAGTCAGGACGCGTTGGTGGTCCGCACGCCGGCCACGGAAGCGCCGGCTCTCGCCACGACCCCGCCCCGCTCTTCGCCCCTCGCTCCTGGGGAGGGACGTTTCACTTACGTTTTGATGGTGCAGGACGTCCCCAGGGGTCAGGCCTGGGCCCCTGAGTTACGGAGAAGCAGGTGGTGGGGTGCTTGGTGGCTGGACAGATGACTTTTCCTTACCGCGAACTTGGCCCACAGAACCTAGTGACGGGGCAGCTGGGTTCAGGGGAAGCAGCCCCAGGCCAGGGTGAAGGGAGGGGGGATCGCCCCCCTTTCAAGCTGCAGTGTCTGCCACGTGGGAGGGGCTAACACTCTAGGGAGTGGGGGGACGCACCCGTTTGTACTCGTTTGCTGTTCTCGCCTCTAATTATCTCACAGTTTATAAAAAATAGAAATAACAAAAGGTGAGCCGGGTCCCACCTCCAGATGCGTGTCCCGCTTTCCGGAGAGCGGAGTGGCCAGCCGCCCCCAGGCCGGCTGTGAGTCAGACATCGGGGAATAAAAAAGACGTCCTTGTGGCGGCAGGCGCGGCCGGCTCCGAGACCGGCAGCACCCAGAACGGACTGCAGGGCGGCGGATGGGACGGCACGGGGTGGGGCACCGGCACAAGCGTTGTGGGGAGGGCGGAGGGGAGGGCGCGGCGGCGCGGGGCCTAGAGCCGAGTCTGCGCCTCCGGGATGTAGATCTCGATGCTGTCCGCGTGCTCGCCGGCCGAGTTCTGGCGGAAGGACGCGGCGCGCTTGGCGGCCAGCAGGCGTCTGCGGGCCTCCTGCCGCTGTCTGTCGGGCAGGTCCAGGGACTTCTCTCGCGTGACCGGAAGTCGCCCTTTGGGGGGCTTCTTTGGTATTGGCGGGGGGGCCTTCCGTTCCTCCTGAAAAGCAGCACAAGAAGCACGTGGTTTCGGGGCGTCCGGCAAGGTCGCCCAGGCCCGGAGCTGGGCACTCACGCCGGCCCTGCTCCGAACCCAGGGCGGCCGCTGCTCTGCCTCCCACCGGTGGGCGGGGGCCGCCTTTGCACTTCCCTCCAATGCCTCGGGTAGGGGAGGGGGGAGTTTGGCACCGCGTCGGCAGAGGAAGGAAGAGGTAAGTTCTTCCTTCGCAGTTCCACCTCCTGCGTCTCACGCCCACTTGGAGGTGGCCCTCCGCGGCCCACTCACCTGGGTGCACACCTGCCGTTCCCAGGGCTCCAGTGCCCAGCGTTTCGGAAGGTGCCACTGGACACCCGCCAGGGCCCCCACCTTTGGACCAGACTAAGGGGTTCATGAAAACCGCCCTTCGTGGGGGTCCCAAGAAACCACCGAGCTTTTCGCTCACACTCATTACTCATGTCCCCTTCACTTCAGTGTCACCTGGGGCTCATGGCTAATGGCTGACCCACACCCTGTGCTGCCCCCTGGGGAGGACTGGCCAGTCTTCGAGGAGGCCCCTGTGCCCCCAGCCTGGCTCTGCTGAGGCCGGCAGGGTCCCCTTCTGGACGCAGGAGCTGGGGGTGGAGGCAGGGTCCCTGCTGAGGGCCTGGGTGCATGTCCTCAGCTGAGAGTCACGCTGCAGCACCCGGGGTTTGCCAGGTTGGTTGTCTTCACCCTTCTATTCTGACAGTGTCTGCCAGAAAACCCAGGTGAGCCTCACTCCCGACTTCTCTAAAGGGTGTTAGGAAACCACTGTATTTATGGCTAACACACAGCTCCCTGGGGTCACTGAAGATGATACCCTAAGGGGAGACATAAAATCACAGGCTTCAGATTTCATGGGACATTGCTGCCCTTCTAAGGCCCAGCGCTGATGGATGACAGGAGGTTTCTGTAGTTAAACTGTTGGGTACAGTTCAAAGGGTCTCGTCTTTCATGGCACACACCCAGCTAGAAATTCTGTGTGTGCAGGAGACAGGAGGCGGCCCTGTGACTGTGGGAACCTCAGAATGACCCAAAGGGTCCTCAGAGGACGAATCCCGCCGAGAAATGAGACAAGATGTGAGCTTTGGTTTGCATCTTCCTCAAATTGTATCCCAGAGACACGGCAGGAAAGAATGTGGCCCATGACTTGAATTGTGCTCCAGTTTATATGTGTACACGTGCGCACACACGTGTGCAAAAGCATGTTCACGTGTGTGCACGCAGACGCACACGAACATGTGCGCACTCTGAGCTGCCTGGGAGGGGGGAGCCTGCAGAGCCTGGTGCGGGGAGGCGGCCCTAGGGGCGCAGTTACCTTCCTGTCCGGAGACTCTGCCATCTTCCAGTCGTTGAGCTTCAGCTGGTGCAGCTCGTCGAACTTCATGCTGACATCCTCCACCGAGAGCTGCAGCATGTCCCAGTAGCCGGCCAGGTCCTGGGACGTGGGTCTGGGCATGGCGCTGGGGTCCTGCGGACACACAGCGGGGTGAGGGGCCTGGCCACGGTGGGGAGGGAAGGAGCTGAACCCCAATTCAGGTAAATATTCCCGAGGGCCCGCAGGAGCCACAGAAGTTTACACAAGTATTTGCTGACGGTTTAAAACAGGAAAAGGCCACACACTGCGTGAGTCCAACTCTGTCACTTCCTGGAACAGGGAGACTGGGGGCAGTGACAGGTCAGGGGTGTCATGGGGCTGGGGGGAAGGATGCACAGGGGAGCCCAGAGGGTTTGGGGGCAGCGAGTCTGCTCTGTGAGGTGCTGTAATGATGGGCACATGTCATCGTGCATTTGTCCAAACCCACCAAATGTGCAACACCCAGAGTGACCCTGATGCCACCTGTGGACTCTGGTGACGCTGACGGGTCAGGGCAGGTTCATCCGTCTGGTAGGGGTGCTGATGGTGGGTGGGGAGTCTGTGCGTGCGGGGTGCTGGGGGGTGAGAAATCTCTGTATGTCCTCTCAATTTAGCTGCAAACCTAAAACTGCTCTAAAAAAGAAAGTTTATTAAAACTAGATCTGCCCTGTGCTTGTTCCTTGTTTCATCCTGAAAATGCTCTCTGAGCACCTGGGCGTGGTGGCAAATAGAAAAGCTTTCCCACGCTGGACACTTCCTGGAAGCCCCGGGCCCGTGGTTTGGTCAGACGGGTGTGGTGCGGGCCCACGCGGTCTGCGGCGTGGCCGTGAGGGTGGGCCAGCTCTGCCCCTCAGCTGGACACTGATGGCAGCAACACCCGTGCAGAGACAGGACCCGTGGCTCGTGAAGGCCCGAGATGACTTCTTGGGCCGCAGCCCGGCACTCAGAGGGGACACCTGCACGACCCGTGGTCATGTCTTGTCCTCCACGCACGACCCGACGGATGCCCTTCAGTCGGCTGATTGGTCACCCACCCCGGCACACACAGTGTGGGCCCAGTGCCTGGGCCCCGGGCCACCTCGAGGGCCCCAGGGCCGTGGGCCGCTTCACTGAGGCGCCTGGCCCACCCACAGGTGCGTGGGTTTGCAGCCCAGGCCGAGGGGCTCGGACAAGTGGCTCCGCGGTGCGGTGAGGGCCCCTCTCACTGAACAGGAATTTCTCATGGGCAAATATTTACCTGATTTGGCTCACAACGTGCAATTTTCGGCTTACTCATAAGTCGTTCACACAGAGCACAACAGGGACTTCAGCTGGCTTTGGTTTTAGCTTCCCATAACCTGTGCCTAGTCGGCTGGGGCAGTGGGAACAGACCCAGTGCAGACGACAGAGCAAGCCAGACGGGGTCCCTCCCAGCCTGGGGCCGGCAGGTTCTGGGTCTGGGGGGTCTCTCTTCCTGGTGTACAGACAGCGTTCCCCACTGTCTGTGCCCCGAGGCGCCAGGGGGAGGGAGCTCTGTGGGGTGCGTCACCCTGGGCTCCACCCACATGACGTAGTGACCCCCTAAGGGCCCCTCCTGGCTCCATGTATTCAGTCTCTAGCCGCCTGGCTTCACATCCACGTGGAAAGGATCACTGTTGGGCCTCAAGCCCTTCTTCGCAGGGCAGCCAGGCGCAGGCAACTAGCCTTTCTGTGTCTGAGGCTGTTCCCAAGATGAGCCACTAGAGGGCACTCGCGGCCCACCGCAGCCAGAGCCGCAGGCTGTCTTCTCCCTCCAGTGATTCTGCTCAGCTACCCTCGTAGCTGCCCGCGGTCCTTGGAAGGTCACGGGCGAGGGTGGGCTGCATCCCAGTCTGAGCGGTGGGGCAGCTGGCTGTGTGTTCCCTGGAAGACACCCCAGGAGCAAGGACAGTCCTCTTTTTTATCAGTTTGGTGTGACCTCGATGTGGGCTGCTGCTGGCAAGTCCCAGGCGTGGACGGTTGAACCCCATAGTGTCTGTGTCCATGCGCACGTCCCCCGTGGGCAGACGTCTGTCACTCCACCAGGCTGACCAGACCGTTGTCCCCAGGGCTCCCTGGAGCAGAGGCGGCCCTGTGTTGCGTAGCCAGGCACAGCCAGGACCTGGGAGGTGGCCCGTCTGCCCCACCAGGCGTCCAGGTTCCCTGCATGTCAGGGCCGATGGCCACAGCCCTGTCCAGGCACAGTGGGCGGTGCGAGAATCCTCACTCAGCCCCCAGGGCCCTGGCAGAGGGGACCCTGGTCTTTCCATGTGCCCGAAGGGTGCTGAGGGCTGGGAGGCCTGCCCAGATCCCAGAGGGCGGCCCGGCAGGTGTGCACGCGGTTCCAGTTCCTGCCACGTGCCTCTCCGCCCCCCAGGGCCCTGTGCCACGGCCCTGGAGGCACACATGTGGTCCCCACGCTCTGGGGCAGACGCCTCCCAGGGTTGTCCCACAATAAGTTCCCCGCAGGCCTTCCCATGAACAGGGAGTGCTCTGTTCAGGGCACTTGCAGGCTGACGGGGGTGTTTTTCTAGGGTCATTTGTCTGACTTAACCCACCCACAGCTCCCAGCTACCAGCAAGGTGGCGGGGGAGGCCACAGCACTGTGGTTGGAAGAGGCCGTGACACAGATGGGAAGGGAAGCCGCCGCAGCAAACCTTCCAAAACCAGAGGGTTTTAAAGGTGGACGTGGGGTGTGAGCTGACGTGGGCTGGAGGCACCGAAGGCTGGGGTCAGGGTGAGGGAGCCGTCAGGTGGGACGTCAGTCACTCCGGCAGAGAAGACAGAGACAGTCCCCAGCAATGTCGCTCTGCTGCAGGAGGTAGCTGCAGACACGAGCCCCCACGGGTGAGGCTGGCCTGTCCTGGGGTAACGGGGTGCACAGGTCGACCCCTTCAGAGCTGGCAGCTACAGAGGGGACACACCCGGGGGGGTGCACGAGCGTGACCTTCCTCCAGTGGCCGGTCCCTCTGCAGGAATTCCAGGCTCCATTTCCCCCTCTGACACACTGATGGTGACTTCACACCAGAGCCCGGTGCTGGTGACGGGTCAGATGTCAGGGTGGACTTGCACGGGGCGAACTGGGGACTGTTGGAGAAAGCACCCTCGTACACGGTCCTGGCGGAAAGGAGCTGTGCCTCCCCTGATGTGTAAGACCACTCGGTGGTAAATGTGCTGTCTCCTCGCAGATGAAAGGCCCAGAGCCAACCACAATCAAATCCCCGAGCAAGGCCCGGCAGGGAGCTATTTGCGTGTTAATGGAAACGGCTGGCTGGAATGGATTCCTGTGCCATGGCCCAGACAGGGATGTTCCTGCTGTCCTGTTCCCTCCCCAGACGCCAGTCAGCACACACTTTCTGCAGTCAGGTCAGGAGATGCACAGACACAGAGCGGTGCCAGTGAATGAGCACAGGTAAACGTCACGTGTGTGTGCACATATGGATATGCGGTCTTTCTCTCCTGCTGATTGCCAGGGAGATCAGAGCCAACCTCAAGGCCAACTGTATTCACCGATCTAGTTCAGTGGTGTGCTGTCGGGGACCGCTCTGTGCGGTTTTGGAGACTGCGGCCCCACCAGAGCAAGCCCTGAAAGGGGCTGGTAAGTCCCCCTGGAAAACCAAGTGAAAGCACGGTGGCAGGCAGGACCCGACACCAACCCCGAGGGTTCCTGTGGGAATCCGGCCTGATAAATACGCTGTATCCTTTGAAGCTTGCTCTGCCCTGGTGATATAAACCAGATGTTCAAGTTCAAGGCATAAGGAGTAAACTCCTTACCTCACGAAACATGTCTTAAAGACTCTCTGGCGTCAGCGTGACTAACAGACCCTGACCTATGACAAATGTCTGTGTTCCATTGTTGTCTACAGATAACACCTGTTTTTGTATGACTGTAGCCTTTTTGACACTGATTGCTGAGCTCTCCATGTACACACACCTACACATACCATTCCCAATAAAAGCCATTTGAGAGAAGGGCTCAGAGCGTTCTCCACTAGAAGGAATCGTCACCCCCTTTCCCACCAGAACAGCAAGATTCTGTCCCAGACGAATTATTTCTCACCCACGGCGGACGGAAGAGTTCTGGGGGCCAGATTTCCGCCCACGGTACACTTATTTCACTGCTGACTGTCAACCAGAAAGCCCAGATTACTCCTAAAATCTCCTTAAACGTGTTCTTTGTGCATTTTCATTCAAGCCATCTCTTATCGCTGTCTTCATGTGTGACGTTGGTGGTGACAGCCGTTTACTTTAGTTGGTTCGGCCCAGCCAGTCCCGGTGCCAAGGCAGCAGCTCCAGCGGATGCACTCAGGCGCCTATCACCTTCAGGCCCCGCCCCAGGCCCCGCCCCAGGCCCCGCCCCCTCGCCCACCGACACACCCCGCCTGGCCGCCTCTGGGCCTCAGTTGCTCTGAACCATCCAAAGCTGGGCGTATCCTGTCCCCATGCGACTATCTGCAAACAGGCATTTTTTAAAGATTTTTATTGTGTTTATTTTTTAGAGAGGGGAAGGGAGGGAGAAAGAGATGGAGGGAAACATTAATGTGTGGTTGCCTCTCGTGTGCCCCCTACTGGGAACCTGGCCTGCAACCCAGGCGTGTGCCCTGACTGGGTGTTGAACCGGTGACCCTGCGCCTGCCGGTAGGTGCTCAACCCACTGAGCCACAGCCGCCAGGGCCTGGCAGGAGTCTTTGAGGAACCAGGCAGCAGAGAGCGTGTCAGGAGGGAGAGCTGAGGCTGGTACCGGCCGCTCACTTACCATGTTCTGTTGGCACAGCCAGTAAAACTGCTGGAACTTCTGCGACATCAGAAGCTGGGCGCTGCCCACTGCGCTCCGGATTTTACCGAGAACTGTTCGGAAGAAACAAACGAGAGGCCGTCAAGGAAAAGCAAAATCAAGAACACTCCACCAGGGGACACGGAGATGGGCACCCCGAATTTACTGCCATTGGATGACTGACGTTCGGCCGCTACGGGGAAGGACGTCCCAGCGAAGCGGCGCGAGGGCTCACACGCAGGACCGCGGACACGAGGCAGGGTGCACCCGAGGCCCTGGCGCGGGGGCCACACTGGCTTTCCTGTTTCCCCACGTCACCCCTCCCCCCGCTGCCGACACCCTCCTGGGGGTCAGCCGCGTCCCCGCTACCGCAGCTCGCCCACATCGCCAGGGCTCCCGGGGCGCTCACCAGACGCGGGGCGCGCTGTGCTCAGCAAACCCACAGGTGGAGTATAAAAGTGAACAACCGTGGAGCGAATCGAACAGCTCAGAGGAGGGTAGGTGTGACCATTGCGGGTTTAATTGGCAAGTAAAATGCTTGGTGCACGACAGGTAGGGGACAGCCCCCACCGCCACCTCCCAGCGCCCCACTGCCCCCACGCGTCCCCTGCTGCTCACGCGTCGGATCCCGGGCCGGCTGGGAGCGCCCTCGGCATTTTAGAGATGGCAGCTCTGGTCGATCCCAACCCGCAGGACCCTCAGAAGCACCCCTGGTAGGCAGGTTTCCCACTGCTGTGCCCTGGCCCCTCCCCCACGGAAAGTCTCCCCTGTCCCGGCTGCGCTCGAAATTACTCCGCAGCGTCTGCGGACATCCGTCCCCCTGGGAGCCTCGGGCAGATCGTCCCACCTGCCCGACTCCGCCCACTCCTCTCTCCGAACGCAGGCGCCTGCGGACCACGCCAGACCCCCTGAGGCTCGGAGGGTCTCTGGGGCGGCCACGGGAAGGGCCGAGGGTGCCCATCGTGAGGCAGAGAGCTCATCGCCACCGGCGCGCTGATGGGGATTTACCATTTATGGACTCGGGGCTCCATCCGTGGAGCTCAGACACTTGTGCCCCAGCCGAAGGTGAGGCGTCTGGTTAGGAGGCAGACTGGGACTCAGTGGGTCCTGACCCGGGGCCTTTTCACCAGCTCCCAGGGACGCCCACTGGCCTCGGGGCCACAGCTCATCGAAGCCTGAGAGACTGTCTAGCGGGGCGGAAACCGGGGTCCCGAGAATAAAACTCAGTTCCTCTCCCTTCCCTCCGTTTTCCCACACATCAGAGATCCGAGCAGGGTGTCTGCAAACCGCTTATTTGTGGGGCTCGTCCAACACGCATTAGAGGCTGACACCTCGAAGCCCAGCACTCGGCTCTGTCCCTTGTCCCAGGCCCGTCTGGGGAGATGGGTACAGGGGCCTTCGCACGCGCTCAGGGACAGGTCCTGGTGGCCCAGATGTGAGCCCGCTGCCGGGAGGCGCCCAGACCAGCGGGCGTGGGAGGACCCAGAGAGCAGAGCAGCGGGTGCCGCCTTCTTCGGGCAAGCAGGGGGGTGGTACCATGTCACCTGCTCCTAGAAGCATCATTCTCCCTCATGAGGAGAACTACAGGCGGGTCGTCCGTCCTGAACCTCGACCGCTGCTCTCCAGGGCCGTAACACGAAAACCACACACATGCAGAAAATTCTAAAGGCAAGCGTGCAAGGCGCCTTGACGCCCAGCACTGGGAATCTGCCACCCGAGCTCATCTGTCTTTGGAGTCTCGCAGCCTGTCCCAGCCCATCCGCTGTCCCTGTGGGCACGGCCGGGATGTCACCCTGACAACGGGTTCATCGCCCGACATCATGTAAACCTAGACCGATCCCAGACACTAAGAATTTAAAAACGTAACTTTCAGCCCTGGCCAGGTGGCGGCTCAGCCAGTTGGAGCCTCATCCCCTGGACCCAAAGATTGCGGGTTTGATTCCTGGGTGGGGTTTGTATGGGAGGCGACCGATTTCTTTCTCCCTCTCTTTCTCTCTCTTTCTCTCCCCTCCTCTCTGAAACCAATACACTCAGCCTAGGGTCAGCATTAAAAAATGTAACTCTCAAAGCGCGTGCATCGTGTGATGCCTTGGTAGGCTTTCCGGCCCAGAAAAGGAGCCCACAGGGGTCACCGTGCACCCTGCTCCCTGGGCCCTCCTGTCCTCTGCAGTGCACTCCCGGGGGTACGCTCCCCTGAGCCACCCGCCGCCTCCCTGCTGGGCAGCCGACAGGGAGGGGGGTGCAGAGCCCCAACGGCGGACAGGGTGCAGGGAGGGGCTGCTCGGGCAGGGGCCAGGTGCGCAGACGGGAGGCTGGGCGGGGGAGGCGCTGCTCCGCCCTCAGCCCTGATCTTAGCCCCCAGCTGGACAGGTTTCCGCAGCACCAGTCTCCCTGCTGCCGAGTGTGGGGATCGGCTTTGGTTTGAAACACGGGATCTCCCTCCGGGAGCCCCTGCAACCTGCGTGGCTGGCGCAGACGTTCGGAGGGACTGGGTTCGACCAAGGCGCTGCTGAGGGGACGTGGAGAAGCAACCGACAGACGCGTTTGTCCCTGCCGAGCGCAGACTCCCGCCCGAGGCACCCAAGCGCCCCGTTTGAGGTCTCGAGAGCGCCCACCCCTCTGACTCGCACTCTTCCCAAACGGGTTCAACGGAGGATCGACGCAAACGCTTCTGTGCATCAGCTTCAGCACAACATGGGCGACGGGCAGCGTCCAGGTGCAGATTTGCTGGGGTGCAGCCACTCACACGGGGTGCAGCCGATGGTCTCTGGGGAGAGAATGACCTCGAAGAGGGGGAGGGCGGCTGAGGGTGGACGGTTCTCTGACACCTGCCACGAACTGGAAGTGCAGATGGAAGTCACTCTTCTCCCCTAGACGCCCCGAGTTCGTCATTGTTGAGCCACGTGAGCCTCCGAGAGCTGCAGACCAGGGGGAGGCTTCTCGACACGCAGCTGCGCTGCTGCCCAGGGCAGGCCTCCGCCCGGGGGTGTGGGCACTCCCTGGACCTGCCTGCTCCTTCGGCTCACTTCCGCCCCCCCCCCCCCAGTTCTCTCTGACTGTGCTGTGACGCTTCAGGGCGATGCTCGCACTGTTCTTTCCTTTAGGATTTTGAAGAAGATTTTTGTAGTTTGCAGGTGGTTTCAAACGGGCATCTGAACCCCGATGGCCAGATCTCCCTTTACGTCTCTCACGCTCCAGCCTCCCCACAGCCTCGGCTGGTGAGACGCGTGTGCCCGCCGGAATTCCAGGGGCAGCAGCTGTCCACCAGGTGGAGCTCCGTCCCGTGGCGGCAGCTGCTGAGGTGCACACGGCAACTGTCCTGCTCACAGCCATCGCCCGAGCTCCTGACGCTTCTCTGTTGGCCGCTCCACTGCTCAGGGACATGGGGCCACCCGCTGCCACAGGCCTGCGTCCTCCTGGCCCCCACCCCCACGCTGAGGACAGACTGTGCATGTCCTTGCTCTCCCCTGGGCCAGGCACAGCCAGTGAGCTGGCCCTGCCCCCACCCCAGCTCACGGCCAGGGGTGGGGGAGGAGACCCGACTCCGGGGGAACAGGCTGGTGAACCCCGAACCCCTCCCACGTCTGTGATGTTCCGGCACTTTCTGCAGCCGTCCTGTTGCACTCAGCTGCTCCCACCCCCTGCAAACAGCTCTGCCCTGGGAAGCGGTGGGAAGGTAAGCGTGGCCTTGCGTCGCTGGAGAAACAGCGGAGCAGCGATGTGCCCACTTTCTCCACATCCGGGGGAGCCTGGAGCTTTCGGGGTGAAACAACGGCAGAGCCACGTTTCCCAGGGGGCCCCGGGGTGGGGCCTGACAGTGGCATCTCCTGCCAAGCGCTTTTCACCTCCGCCTCCTCGCAGGCAGCTCACGGAGGAGCGGAGGGACAGGTTCTCTGTCACTCGCCTGCACAGGACTGTTTCAGTCCAGTTTCCTGGGAACGCAGACGACTGTTTTTTGTATTTTATCTTTGTGACGAAGGTCATCAGTTCTGTTACAATTACGTGATTCTGTCCCCTAAGTCGAGGACCACACTAACACTCGAGAAAACTCGGCAGGGAGACGAGTGGTTCAGACACATCAGCACATGCGCCCTACGGACGGTGCCGGGGACCAGGGCAGCAGAACCCCTGCATCCTGGCCCGCAGGCTCCTGTGGTGCAGTCACCTGGGGGGTCGGCACTTCCCCGGGGTCGTGTCAAGGGTCAGCTCGGGCCTACAGGTGTGGGGCAGCTCACTGGGAGCGGAGCCTGTGAGAGCCGCCCTGGCTCTCTGCCTGGGCCGACTCCGCAGGGCGCACAACTAAACACCGACACAGTGGCGATCGTTCCCAGGGCCTCTGAGCTGGCCCTGAGCTCTCCAGGTGTCATCTGTCACGGCCTCGTGGGGGTGCTTCCCTGTCTGGGGTCCAGGGCTAGGTCCCCAAGGACACCAGCTATGCTTCTGAGCTGCAGCCCTTTCCAGAGACCGAGCGTGGGCGAAGGAATTCACAGGAAAGGACAAGGACACACGGACAGCATGATGGGCCGGGGAAGTCTTTCGGAAATGCCTTCGAGAAAGTGCATGTCGTTAAGGACCATGTCTGCAAACAGACAGCAGGTGCGTGCAGACCGCACCAGCGGTTCACAGAGGGGCCACTCGGGGCACTGCCAGGAGACGGGAGGCGGAGCAGGGGTGCTGTCCCTTCCTGCACAGAGGCCCAGTCCACCAGTGGGCGGGGTTAGGCGCAGACGCCGCTGCCCGTCCCTGGGCCGGAGTCGCACAGAAGCCCCCTCATCCCGAGGCTGCACAGCGAAGGGCTCACCATCACCTCGGGGACTGCTGACTGCGGGCTCGTCTTCTCGCCTACTCATTTGGTTTGGCAAACCAAATGGAGCCAAACACCAGATAGCCGCGATGCTAAAAACCGGAGGAAATGCTCCCAGCCCAGCTGCTGCGGAAATCAAGAGCTGGCACGTGGCCTCTGAGATCAAGGACGGGACCAGCAGCACTGCCGGCACCGCCGGCCACGCCACCCACCCGGCCCGACGGGACCTCGAATGGGCCCAGCTCGTGCGGCCGCCTCTCTCCGCCCGTCCACCTGCAGCGCTGCTGAGACGGAGCAGGCGGTACCTGCCCGGCGCGCATTCGCGCCGGGAACCCCTACGCGCGCCCCACCCCGCTCTTACTTTCCTCCGCGAGGTCGTTGTCCTCCGCCTCCCGCTCCATCTCCTTGCACCAGCCCTCCATCCTCTGCGTCTCCGTGTGCAGCAGCTTCAGGAACCAGGAGCCGTCCCTGCGGCACGGCGACACCCGCCCGCCGTCCCCCGCGTCCACAGCGGGCTCCAGCCAGGGCTCGGGCGCCGGCACTACCGTGTCCGCCGGCGCCCGGTAGTCCTCCCGGTAGCTGAAGAGGCCCTGCGTGCGCACCGTCCGCACGGCGCCGTACTGCGTCGGGGTGCTGGGCTCAGAGTGCCGCTGGAAGGACGAGCCGAACTGCAGGCCCTTGTCCTCCGTCGGGACGTGTCCCGGGAAGCCCTCCAGCTCCAAGTCCGCCTGCACACCCGCCGTCACGCTGTTGGAGCGCTTGAACCGCCCGCGCCTGCGCAGGAGGGAAGGAGACAGGGAGGCCTGGCTCAGTCGGGGCGCCCCCAACCCGCGCCCCACCGGTGGCGTGCGGGTGCCCCGAGTCCGCCCAAGCAAGCTCATTGCGCTTCCCGCCCACTAGCGTCTGATGTTTCCTCTGCGGGAGAGCAGTGGGCTTCGCAAACGCGTAACCCCGCACGTCTGCTCAAGTCTCAGTGTCGCGCCCAGGCCCGGGGACGCGCGTTTCCCGGCGGCGCCGCCGTCTGGGCGCGAGGCTGCACTGCACCCGGAGGGGCCGCTCTCGGGTGATGGCGCCTGCAGCCTGCTGAGCCTCGGCCACTTCGCATCCCGTTCCAGGGCGCGAGGGTCTTCTCCTCTCCCACCCGAACCACTAAGCGTCTTCCCGCGAGCCCGCTCTGCAGGACCAGGAGTGTGGACTCGGACTTCACCGGGCGTCACCGGTTCAGAGCCCGTTAGCGAGCGGGGTGGCCGCCCCGAGCGCAGACGTGCGGGGCAGGGCGGCTCTGTGCATCTGCACATCCAGCGATGCCCCGGCTCCCGGCCGCCAACCGCTGGGGGAAGGGAAACGTGCACCGGGGGCAAAGGGCCTGGGCACACTCGGCTGGCGGGAGCAGGAAGCTCAGGCTGGTGGTCCCCGGGGGCAGAGGACCTCGGCTCTAAGAGCTCTGTTGGGGACCCGCGCCACCAGCTTGTGGTCTGGATTCCCTGCGGTCGGAGCCCTCATAGGCTGGACCCTGAACGCCGGCCCCACCATCTCCCCGCCTGGGACCTGGCTGATGAGATGGGCAGGAGGTCCAGAGGCCAGGGTGACTAAAAGGGGTCTTCATAAAATTTACCAGACGCACTATCTAAGCGTGAAGTGGAGCGACGCCCCTGCTCTCATCACAGAAGTAACACCAGCGGTCGGGCGGCCCCGTGTGCTGTGGCTGGAGGGCATGCTCTCCCCAGAGCGAGCCAGCCCAGCCACGTGGCTGTTTTTCTTTCCCTTTGCCCTCGCTCAGTGGGAAAGCCGGTGTCTGTGCCCCTCAGCCCGACTCCTGCTTCGGGTGAGGGACCAGGCCTGGCCTGCCAGCCCCTCTGGTTCCCGAGGCTGAATCGCTTCACAAGGTGTCACCCCCCTGCCTCTGCCAGAGCAGGAGCCGGGCAGGTGTTGAGTGTCCCCGAATGCAGGGCTGGATGGGGAGCACACACAGGGCCCGGTGGAGTGAGGCCGGCTGCACTGGGGTTGGCAGGGCACGAGGGTTTGTAGCTTCACTTGGAACATTTCACCTAAAATGTCACAGTGTGCGACTGTTGTTAGAGTCACACGCTTAGGGTTTCCTGGTACAAAGTTTTGTAATGAGAGGGGCGTTGACCGATTCCACAAAGGCCGTGAATAGCTGAGGGTCGGCCTGAGCGGCAGCGCGTGTGGGGGGCCCGGGCGGGCGGGGGGAGTTACCGCTTCTCGTCTTCCACCTGCACGCCCACGGAGTGGTACTCCCGCAGGCCGCGGCTCTCCGTGTCCGAGTCGGTCGCCATTTCCACCTGGGTCAACACAGAACATCTCATTTTAGGGCTGAGACACAGGACCGGGCACAGGACTGTCTTCGTGTGTGTGTGCTCACTTGCTGCGATTAACTGCGTTTGTTTAACTAACTCAGACACGCGCTGGCCCCGGGACGCCACACAGAGAGGGACCCGCACTGTCCTGGCGATTGCGCTGCGCTGCCGTGTTCCACCACGTTTTACGCAGCTGCTCAGACTTAGGGGTTTGAACCTATGTGTGCTAGTAACACTGCTCAGTGCAGCTCAGGCACAGAGAGGCTTCATGGGCCGAGTTGCTGCAGGACTTACAAGCCCTTATCACTCCCTACAGCGGACAAAGTAAGCAGAGAATGGACCAGAAGGCACTAGCAACAAGGAAGCGATTTAACAGGGTTACACCAACGTCTGCAGCCACAGAGAGACACGTGGAGGGGACGTTGAGGGGGGACCAGGCGGTGCCAAGGCAGGCATCCGTCTGTCCTGCACATGGCTGCGTCCTGTTGCTGGAGGGCCGTGCCCGGCAGGGGGACGCAGGGCATAGCACAGAATCCTCCCTGTGGCCCCGTTCGCCAGAGTGTCTCCCCATTGGGACGCTGTCTTCCATGAGTGTCAAGGGAAAAGGTGCGCTTGTCCCCCGTGGCAGAAATCCACGATGGCCTGAGGCCTCGCCACGGCCCTCGGAGGCCGACTCCCTCGTGGCCCATACGAGTGGGGACGCCGAGGGCTGGCGTTCATTTCATGCCAGCCACGCGCCAGGCGCCGAGTGAACAGCACGGTAAACACGCGGTCACAGGACGCCCTGCTGTGTGGTCCCTGGGCGCACTGGCGGACTGAGGGGTCAGAGAAGGCAAGAAAAATGACCTGGGGAGCACAGCTTGTCGGGGGCCGGGCCAGGACTCCCGCCCAGATCTCTCTGGCCACAGAGAGCAGAGCTGTGGAGGAGGGCCGGGGACACCCCACTTTTGTTGGCACAACTCTGAAAACAAGTCACACCTCATTTGCGGTGTGTCCTGAAGCAGGGACACCCCATAGGGAAACCCTCACCTGGCTGTTTGTCCTCTTTTTATTGTAGGCAGATGTGGCTTTAAAGAATTTTATTTCTTTCTGTGTGGGGTGTAGCAATCACTGTTCACATTACTTTACACCAGGGACTGCGGTAAAATCCCAGGGGTTCGGGGTGGTGCCCCGGTCAGGGTGCGGCTCCCGCTTATGGAAAGGGCCCGACTGAGTCCCCAGCTGCTGCGGAGAGGTGACCGGGCCACCGCTGGCTTCCTGTCACCACGCTGCCGCGGTGGGGACTCGCCTGCATGTGTGCGTGGCTTCCTGTGCACATCCTCGCCGTGGGCTGCTGTTCAGAGGCTTGCTGCTCTGCGCTTTGGGTGGATGTGGTCACGGCGACGGACTCACGACACGGGCGGGGGCGGCCTGAGCACTGGATGTCAGAGAGGTGCTGGGGGTGGGCAGGGCACTGATTTTTACCCTGAGGACTCAGAACACCTGCCTAACTTTTTAAGCAGTTAGGGTCCTAGTCTACAGAGATGGCCGTGAATTCGGACCAAGGGAGAGGCTCCCACCGTAGGGCCATTCAGCAGGTGCAGCCTGGGGGTGAGCCGGGCTGCAGAGCGGCCGGGAGGAGCGCGGTGAGGGGCAGTTCCCACACCAGCCTGGGCTCAGGGTGCGATGCAGGCCGAGCACCGAAATCACACAGAACAGACACGCCATGGACGCCCACACACGCTGTACGAACACAACAAAGGGGTGTTTCTCCCTCCGCTCGTCGTCACAGGGTCCCTCCGACAATGCCAGCATTTCCACAGTGGATGAGGAGCGTGCAGCTTCTGGAGCCAGTTAAATTCAGTGACTGCTGCCCGCAGAAATCGGGGAGGTGGTTAAATCTCCTCGAGGCCGTTCTTCCTGATCTCAAAACCCAGGGGACCTCGAACTCCACGCTGGAGTGAGTGAAGCCCCACCCACGGCGAGTGCCAATGCCCGTCCCCTGGCCTCAGCCTCTAAGGTCGTCGGCTCCAAGGACGCAGCATTACATCCACAGGACACACCTTTCCAAGAAAAGTGAAGGTGTGAGAAGGTCTGGGGTGATTCACATGGACCAGGACGTGCTCCACAGTTACCCATACCCGAAGTCCTGGGGGTAGACAGATAGGAAAACACCCACCAAATCCAGGACAAAGGAGAGGAAGTGCTTTTTTGCACAGCGGAAAGGAGCTCGAGCAACCTTTTCCAAGAGGAAATTCTGGATGCACGTGTGCGTGAACCTAAGACTTGAGAAATCCAAGCTTATCTTTGTTTTTGCAAGACCCCCCGCGTTCCAGACACAGAGAAGAAAGAAGGGCCGGCAAACCCACCACGGCCTCTGGAGTCGCTGCCGGGGGGCTGGGTGAGGGACACTGCCTCTCCTGGCACGCTGGCCGCAGCACTGGTGCCCCGAGAACAGTGCACCTCACACTCCGCCTTCACAAACTCATGCGCAACCAGGCAGGTTGGACACAGCGGCGCCGTGTGTCCCTCAGGGACCTGCTCTGTGTCCTAGCCCTGCCACCGCGAGGGGCTCATGGCTCCGCCCACGTGCTCTGACGCTAGTTGGGGGGGCTTGGCTCTGGCTGGATTCTTGGGTAGACCCACATTCTGGAAGTGAGCAAGGACACGGCTTTCCTAGGCCACTGCCACGCACCCCTAGGCCGTGCGGAGAGCACAGAATGTGGCCACTCCCTTTGTGATGACGGGGACCAGGGTACATGGCCTTGAAGGGCTCCTGGACGTTAGACCCCACATTTCCCAAACACACACACACACACACACACACACACACACACACACACACACGTAACAGCTCTGCAAAAACAAACCACACAGAACAACAAAATCCAACACAAAGAAAGTAGTTAACGTCACGACGGGCGTGAGGAAAGGGCCGGCAGGGAGGGCAGGGGGTCGGGGGAGGACCGGCTCTGGCTGCCACTGGTTAGAAAGGGCCCAGCGGCGGTGACCTGGGGGCCCGGAGTGGGAGGAGGGCCTCGTGGTACACGGACGCCCAGGGCATCAGGCCCCCACCCTGAAGGGGCTTCGAGCAGCGGAGTGAGCTGCAGCCGGCGGGTGGGGCGCTGACTGCCAGGAGGTACGGGAAGCCACTGTCCCAGCGCCGGCTGGGCGGCGCCCTGGGGGCCGTGTCTGCGGGGGTGGGGAGCTGGCCCGCCTGGGCCCAGCAGAGGGAACGCTGGCCCAACTTCTCCACTGTCTGCGAGGCAGAGCGTTGCCCTGGGGACAGACGCGCAGGACCTTGCGCTGCCCCCCTTCCACTTCTGGTGCTTGGGCTGCGGGTTCCACCTGCCCGGCCCCCCGCTGTGGCCCGGACGCCATGTGCGCGGAGGCAAGTCACTTACCCCTGAGCCTCAGTTTCCCCGTGACAACACCCGGCACCTGGGCTTATGGCGAGGAGTGGGCCTGGTGGGAGCGGGGCACAGCGGCACGTCACTGCCTGCTGTGTGCTCACTGCTGTCCTCAGGACATGGACTTGGGGCTGATGGCGCCGATGTCCCCCCGTCCTCTTGGCCCCATGGCAGCCTTTCGGCGCCTGCGCCGCCTTTCACTGTGGCTCCCACGCCCCTGCTCCTCGGCCTGGGCTCTCTCCTCCCCGAGAGGTGACAACGTTCACCCTCAGCTGTGTGACTCGCTGGAGTCCGCCCGCTGCTGTGTCACATGCTCACACAGGACTGCAGAGGACAGTCCCGCCTGCCACACACGCGCACGCTGGTCAGCACACTCACCACCTTCACCAGCCCACTCAGCGCCCACTCGCACACCGACGTGGACGGGGCACCTGCTGTGTGCCAGGCACTGCGCTGGGGCTGGTCGTCCAGGGACACGCGTCCAGGGGCACAGCGTCCAGACCGGCCTCTGGGGAGAGCGGCCATGTGAACTATGTGTGAGGGGCAGGGGGGGGGTGCAGCAGCCGGGGGACCTGACCTCATGCGAGTCTGAGACGCACGCCCAGGACTTCCCGGTAAAACAGGAACTCCGCGTCCAGAAGCTGGCACCGCCCTGTGCAGGGGATCCAGGACGCGACTGGACTGGGTGAGCCTGTCTGTCCTGGGGAATGGGGCTGATGACACGTGGGGGATAGGGTCCCCTGAACGAACGAGGCTCCCAGCACAGTGCCTGGCATCTAGCATCCAGACAGAAAGGGGACAGGAGCGGCTGTGTGGGGTCAGAGAAGGGGCGAAGAGGTAAAAGTCATGCGAGCGGCTGTGAGGGTTGGTACTTACATCTGACCTTGGGTAGGGCAGGCGCTCTGGGAACTCAGAGTCCTAAACAAAACAACGAACCACAGTGTGGGGCCCGGCTCACGGCACTGGGCAGCTTGCTCCCCGTCCCCGATGCCAGTGTGTCCCTGGATCCCTGGGGCCACAGCTCCACGCCCTCCTCCTCCCCAGCGGCAGCTGGGCCCCAACTGTAAAAGTCTCTGTTGGACACAGGCTGGGGCTGACTGGGGAGTGACAGGGACCCTGTCTGTCTCCACAGGGCTCAATGCCATCACTGCTCTCCACGGCTCATGTGTGGTAGGGGACAGTCCCCAAGAGAGATCAGGGCAGCTTCGTCCAGGTGAGTGTCCCATGCACCGCAGGGGACACACAGGAGGGAGGAGGGAGTTGCCGGGTCTGTTGTCCCTGGCAGGCGCTGGGCGTCATGAGTCCTCGAAGAGGCATCCTGGGTGGCCTGTGAGTGGCTGTGAGCACTGGCCTGGGCGGGAACCAGGGGCACCATGTCCTCTCTGCCTGTGTCCCCAGAGCCCACCCCCCACGCAGCTGTGGGGCTGAAACAATTGAAAGGCTTTGAAAAACCACTTCAACAAAAATGCCTCCTTGTGCATCAGAATAAATTCCTTGCACTCTAAGCGGTCTGTGGTCCCTAGACAATGCCCTGGGTTGGGGAGGAGGCCAGGGGAGGGGCCTACGGGCAGCAGGGCAGGTGAGGGACGGGGCAGAGTGGCCTGCACTGGCAGGACGCCCTTGGGACCGGGACCGGGACCAGGACGGGGAGGCCCGCCTGTGGCTGGGCCGCGAACCAGGCGCCGTGTCTGCATCGGCGCTACTCGCGCTCCTGCGGCAGAGGGAGGCTACCTGGACCCCGATGGATGCGTGCCGGCTCCGGAGGAAGTCCTCGGCCTTGTCGCTGACCCGCCCCAGGCCGTCGGCAGCGTGGCGCTGGGCGGCAGCCGTCTCTAGAGCCAGGTTCATGGCCTTGTTGCTGTCCAGACTGTCCGTGGAGTTGTAGAGGCCCCGGCTGTCCTGGGGCCACGGGGACACCCTCTGGGCGCGGCCGTCCTGGTAGGCGTCCTGCGTGGACTCGGTGCTGCTCTGCGCGGTCACCGAGATCAGGGGCTTGGAGGTGGTCCGAGGGGGCACGGGCGGTGGCGTTTTCTTGTAGTTCGTGTACGAGACAGCTGCAAGAGACACGCAAGTGCCATGTCAATGCAAACTCGTTCCCCCGCCTCCCCAGCATAAAGGTCGGTGGACGGCCCGTGGCCCAGCGTCAGGTCTGAGAACAGCACGGCAAGATCGGGAGCTGCTGTGCGCTCGGAGACAGTCCTCATGACTAGTTCTCAGCAGCGAAAAGCTGTAAATACGCTGAGAAAGCCAGCAGCGGCCGCGGCATCAGGTGGCTTCTGAATTAGCAGAAGGTGACCACGCCGTCATTTTCATGCAAGTCACAGCCTCATGGGGAAACGGTCATTTTATAACATCATTGAAAAGCAAGATATTAAACCATTTCTGTACCAGGACAGAATCTGTTGGTGAAGATTAGAGGCGCCCAAACTCGTCCACCACGGTCATCGCGGTGGTACACGGTGACTGGCTGTTTTCCCTTCCACTCCTCTGTGTCGCCCAAAAATGCTTAATAATAGGTGTTTTTACGATGGAGAACATGTGCGACATCAGAGCCTGCTTATTCGCCAGTGGGTACAAGTGTAGAGTTCACTGAGGAGGGGCACAGGGTCCCCAACCATCCCGCCTGGGTGTCCGCCTTCACGCCCCTGGGCAGCCACATCTCCTAACCCCGCCCACCGGCCTTCACGCTCCCCTAACCCCGCCCACCGACAGCCACACTCCCCCTAACCCCGCCCACCGGCCTTCACTCTCTCCTAACCCCGCCCCGCGCACGTCTGCACAGTCAGCTGTGCGGCGCATCCGCTAGAGGAACAGATACATTCAGAGATGAGATCGCTTCAAAAATCTCTTAGAAGCTCCCCGGATTCACTGGAACTGCTTGCCGGGCTCGGGCTGTTCCCTGCTGTTACCGCGAGGAGGCGCTGCCCCCAGGACTCCGTGTTGGCACCGCGGGTTTCCCGTCGCCGCGGGCCATTCCCTTCCCCCGGGAGGGGAGAACGCGCGCACGTGCTCCGGGGGACCCCGGGCTCCGGTCCGGGCGCGGAGCGGACGCGCGTGCGCACCGGCCCGGCCTGCAACGTACGGAAGGGTCAGGCGTCCCCCCGGACCCTTGGGGGCTGGCAGTCTCCGTCTGGTCACCGCCCGGGCGTGTCCGTCACGCCGCCTTCTGTCCTCGGGGACTGGACCTGCTCCCGGGTCTGCGGTCTTTCTCCAACCCGTGAGTGTACGAGTTTCTAGTGAAAATTCCAACAAGCTTTGGCAAACAAACAGAGTGAGTCTGTCACGTCGGGACGACCTGAGCTGAAGTCACGAAAAGGGCGCAGGAAGACGGATGCAGGGCCCCGACAGGTAGAAACGGGAAGGAGGACCGGCAGGGGCGCCGCGGACCCAGGGGCGGCTGGCTGCAGCCCGCATTCGTGGCGTTATTCCGGAGCCAGAGAAGCAGGGGCGGCTCTCATCTGCCTCGGCCGAACAGCGGTGGTGTGTCACCACCGTCCTGCTCAGCAGGCCGTCCGGCCACCTGGACTGAAGCCGAGGAGGTGGCCGCGGGGTTGGGACGGTGGAGAGGGGGCCCAGCTTGGAGCAGACCCGTGAGGTCTCTGGTGCTCGGAGTGAAGGGCGTTAATTCTTGAGTGAACGTGATGAGGAATAGCCCTGTTCCTACAGGGTCTTATTGGACCAGCGCCCTCCGAGTGCCCGCCACGGTGTTATTTTTGACACAGTCGACCCCCGCTCCACGGGCCCAGAAGCCCCTGCCTGTCCGGTCATCGTGATGAGCAGCGTGTTTCTCTGCTCGTGGGTGTTGGAGGGGACGCCTCTCCCAGCCCTAGTTCTCTCAAAGACGTCTGGGGCGTTCAGCAGAGAGCCCTGGGGACCATCTGCACGACAGCACCCCTGTCGCCAACCTCTTGGGGCATGAAATAGGTGCCCTGGAGGGACCTTTCCAAGTCCCCGAGAATATCCATCACTTGTCCCTGTGATTCTGCCTGTAATGGCCCAGGGATGAACGAGCAAGTGGATTTAACACAAACAAATGGCCAAGGCCCCACGCCCCAGCACAATGAGTTTCGTACGTGTTAAAGACACGGATCTAGAGACGCACATCACTTCCGACGCCCAGATGCCAGGCCTGCCCTTGCGCTGGGCCAGGGACCCTAGAAGGGGCTTGTCCAGGAAGGTGGAAGGAGGGCGTGTTGCACAGTTCGCCTGCTCCCGTGACGCTCGCTCAGGGCTGCTCACACTCTGAGGGGCCCACAGTGGCACCACGACACTTGGCTCTTATTTTCATGGTGAAGTGAACATCTTCGATTTCCTAATTTGAAAATTAAGTCTCTGGTGTCACTCCTGAGTAAACAGCAATTACAGCACCTGAAATACCTTGGAGAACGCAGCATGGAGACAGGGGCTTTTAAAAACTGAAGCGCATCAACGCCTCCCTCACTGGCGTGGTGACCCACATCCGCCGGCGCCCCCTGCGCACCCCTGCACGGCTTGCCTCGGGGAGGGTCAGAAGCCCAGAAATGTCGTGGAAAAGGGATTTAAAATGATCATTTGATCATATTTATTTGCTGCCATGGATTAAAATAAACAATTTTTAAGAATCATTTTACCCATTCAAGAGAAGCATTCAATCATCCCGTTGAACAGTCTGGGCAAAAATAATTGCTTTTCTTCTGTGTCCATGAGCACATAGCTCGAAAATAAACTCACCCGAACTAAACTTACCAGTTACAGGTTGTGACACATCATTTTCTGTACGCATGACAGGCACACATGAAATGCAAACGGAAAATCTAAATTTAGTTTAGCGATGGAATTCTACTGGCGTGTATACATCCTCCAAAAGCAGACGAGTCAATAGGGAGAGGGATTTCTAAACATCACATTAAATGATTACTTAGTATCTTCAGGTAGCTGAGGTCCTGGCTACTCATTTTAGTTTTATTTCTGAGTCCAGGCGCGAACACCAGCCGCCACTGGTTTCTTCTCTGTGACATGATGAAGACCACGGCGGCGCCCTGCCTCCCCGGAGTGAGCAGAAAACCCACCTGTGTTTGCAAACGCAGTTGCCGAGCGACTGGGGGTTGGTTTTCCTCTCTGACCAGACAACTGGAGGGAGCTGCTGCCGGGCGGGAGCCGCTCGGAAACTGCCCCCTTCCCTGGGCAAACCAGCACCAGCTCAAACTTTTGCGCTGGCCTGGTCCCCTCCACTGTCCAACACGGATGGGCCTGAGTGCACTGCACATTTCAGGGAGATTTCTGTGAAAACCGTATTGAACTGGGCATCAAGGTACCGAAAGCACATTTGCTCGGTAGTCAGTTCTTCCCTGTGAGAGCCGAGCAGAGGGGCCTGGGCAAGGTGGGCCTTCCTGTGTATCCAGGACTTCCTGTGTGTCCGGCACCTTCGCTGTGGATCTGGGTCTTTTCTGAGGTATCCGGGACCTTCCCTGTGTATCTGGGACATTCTCTGTGTATCCAGGATCAAGTTGAAATCACTGGACCCTTCTGGAGGGAACAGCTCAAAGCCCTGGGTCAAAAGTGCTGACGGGCAGGCAAGTGGGAAGAGGCTGCAGCTGCAGCTGTGTGTGTGTGTGGGGGGACACACGTGCCCAAACTCATGGATCTGTCTCCATCATAAGCACAAGGCCCCAGGCGAGACTGCACCATCCAACAGCACAGCCACCAGCCACATTTCAGTGACCCAAACTTCCAAAATAGCCATGTAGCTAAACTGCAATTAAAAACCAGTTTCTCTGCTTGACAGTTGCTGCAGCTGACGTGACCATAGGGACGGGCAGCTCATCAGCATCGCAGACCTCGTGCAACCTCTGCATCTGTCCTCTCCTCCGTCTGACCCCATCGTGATGGGAAAGCCAATGAGCTGGCCAGCAGACTTGCCTCTGGGTCCGCAGGGGGCTGGGTTAGCAAATCTCCTGAGGCAGAATTTGGAGAAACACACTTTTCTCAGTTGTGACCAGCTAACGTGATTGAGGTGCATAAACCGCCCACACTTGTACGGGACTCGCAGAGATCTCAACTGGGAATGCTACGTCGTTATTTTAAACACACGCCTGATTGCCCGCCTACACCTGCAAGGCTGGACAGCGTTTCTGAATTCAGTCCTCAGAAGTCATTTGCAGCCAGAAAGGAAATTTTAAAATTAGCCTTCCACCATATAAAGCACAAATATGTAATCAAGACAAAATATATTTCGAACGGCAGCCATCGAGTTCTATTTGAATGTAACAGCGACACTTAAATCCATTGCACTCTCTTAATTAGGACTTCAAAGATAACCATATAAAAGGAATTACAGTAATCAAGTGCGAGAATGTCTACACGAGAGCCTGAGTGTGGGAGAAACCCAACTTTGAAGGCAAAAGATGCGGCTTGAAAGATGAAAGCTGTGTTGACACTTTAATTAATGTCAGTCTCCGAACGCAAGCATGAATGAAACAGGACACAGAAACCGTACCCCACGGGCGAGCACACGGTGATTTCCCTAAAGTCACAAGAAATTACGTGGGCCACCCAAGCTCTGGGGCCGCGGTGATGGATTAGCAGCAAAGACATCAATTTCAAGTGTGTTAATTAGCAGGGAATTGTAGCGCGTCCAGCACTTAACATCTTGTAGATGGAGCGCAGTGACGGCAGCTGCTTCCCCGCTCCAGACAGCTCCCGTCTTCACTTTACACGTTAAGGAAACCACGTCACACAATCAGAGCCCGGACGTTCTGCAGGAAACCGACTCTCCGTGATGTGAACAGTCATGAGAGTCCCTGAGTGGGGGCATTCCGAGGCCCACGCGGTAAGTAGGGGTGACGCCGCCCAGGGGCCATGATGATGAGGTAACAGCCACTGGGGACGGGACGCGAGGCGGGGCGGCTACCCTGCCAAGCCCGCTGCTCTCAGGACACAGTCTCGTCCCCAGTCTCAGCACATGGGAAGCTTTAAACTTAGACTGAAGACAGCTCTGAAAAGAAGACTCTTTTTTGGTGACAGTGACACACCGGGGTGGCAATTGGGCGATGATGACTACGCTGTTCTTGGAGAA